CATCCTCTCTCACTTCAAGGTAGGAGCGCGTGTCCATCCTCTCTCACTTCAAGGTAGGAGCGCGTGTCCATCCTCTCTCACTTCAAGGTAGGAGTGTGCCTCCATCCTCTCTCACTTCAAGGTAGGAGTGCGTGTCCATCCTCTCTCACTTCAAGGTAGGAGCGCGCCTCCATCCTCTCTCACTTCAAGGTAGGAGCGTGCCTCCATCCTCTCTCACTTTAAGGTAGGAGCACGTGTCCATTCTCTCTCACTTCAAGGTAGGAGTGCGTGTCCATCCTCTCTCACTTCAAGGTAGAAGCGCGTGTCCATCCTCTCACTTCAAGGTAGGAGCGCGTGGCCATCCTCTCTCACTTCAAGGTAGGAGCGTGTGTCCATCCTCTCTCACTTCAAGGTAGGAGCGTGTGTCCATCCTCTCTCACTTCAAGGTAGGAGCGCGCCCAAAAGCACCGAAGATTCTGCACCAACCTGCTGGCTCTGCTCGATGAAGGCATCGATACATTGCGAGTAACCCTGCAATAGATAACGACAGTCGTTACTAACGAGCGACGAAACGTGCGGCAAATTGCGCCGGAACGTGGCTTTCGCTCCGAGCAAGCTTACAGGTACTGTACGAGGTGTGCATCAAACAATCGCATGTAATGTTGTTCACATTGCCGTCATAGGGTAATGTAAAACAAACACATTTATTTCTCACTAACCCCTTATGGTTTTTTAATATATATTTTATTTCATTATTAATTGTATACAATTAATTAAATTGTCAATTTATTTAAATAAATTATTTTTAATTATTATACATTTTTAATTGAATTAAGTTTAATTAGTTGATTTAATCAGAGATTTAATTTTTAAGTATGAAACACTTTCTGAAGCAGCATGCAGCCCATTATCATTCACTCGTGGGACGAGATACACTCCTACCTTGAACGTGTTGAAATGAGAGAGAATGGACACGCGCTTCTACCTTGAAGTGAGAGAGGATGGAGGCGCGCTCCTACCTTGAAGTGAGAGAGGATGGAGGCGCGCTCCTACCTTGAAGTGAGAGAGGATGGAGGCGCGCTCCTACCTTGAAGTGAGAGAGGATGGAGGCGCGCTCCTACCTTGAAGTGAGAGAGGGTGGAGTTATAGTTAATATAACAATTAGGAATGAATATTAGGAACAATTATTAGGAATATCTCGGCAGCAGGCATTTGCTGCTGACGTTGAGAGCAGGTTGGAAAACTCATCCCTTTTGGAGACAAAACTGCTGCTTGCTGCCCCTAATATCGAACCCTGTAAACTGACCATTGTAGGCAGCAAAACTGCTGCTTGCTGCCCTTTATTTTGAACCCTGTAAACTGACCCTTGTTTGGCAGCAAAACTGCTGCTTGCTGCCCTTTATTTTGAACCCTGTAAACTGACCATTGTAGGCAGCAAAACTGCTGCTTTTTGCCCTTTATTTCGAACCCTGTAAACTGACCATTGTAGGCAGCAAAACTGCTGATTGATGCCCTTTATTTCGAACCCTGTAAACGGATCTTTGTAGGCAACAACACTGCTGCTTGCTGCCCTTGGAACTTGCCTTGCTTGCCTTTCGAACCATGGAATCGTGTACACGTAACGTTCGCAAACTTAATAATAAAAATCCAAATGTTCCTCACCCGTGGGAGTTCCGCACCGAACATCCATTAAGGCTAACATATCTTGGAGTTCCTTTTCTATAATATACTTAGTCGAGTTTGAACGCATTTTGATTTGTTCTTCAGCGAGGAATGTATAACTGTGTATAGTCAAGTCTAAACATGTCGTTACACATTTGTATGATAATTTGTATGTAATTTTATTATATGAATGATTTTATTATTTTATTTTTTATTTATTTTTTTGTATGTAATTTGTGTGTTGTATAATTGTGTATAGTAAACTCTAAACATGTCGGCAAACATTACACATTTGTATGATAACTTGTATGTAATTTTAATTTTTTTGTTATTTTTATTATTTTATTATTTATTATTTTATTATTTAATTATTTTTAATTTTAAGTTTTTTTTAATGTAATTTGTATGTTGTATAATTGTGTCAGCACGTCGGCAACCGTTACACATGTTACCTCTCAATCTCCTCCAGGCTGGCTTCTTCAGGAACAAGCGTTCCGTGTTTGCCGTCATTCCACCGCTGTGCAAAGACACTAGCGACCTCGTGCAGGAAATATTCGCATTGCCGGAGAGCGTCATGGCAAAGTTTGTTCTCAACGTCTACCACGGCAAACTGATGGAGCACATCCAGGCCAAACTAGCAGATAACAGCAACTCAGAAGTATACCTGAGGAATCTCTACGACCTATATTCACAGTGAGTTGACAGCCGAGCTGTGGTGATGACTGTGTATGGTGTACGATGTTAGTGAGCTGACGATAACGGGGTTATGTTAATGTATAATAAATTAATAAATTATAATAATAATTAATAATATTATATATATGAAATTAATTACTACTTATTTATTATTGTTTATTTATGTCGTTTGTTTATATTGTTTATTTGTTATTATAGTTGTGTATTTTATTTATTTACACTCGACGTTCACGTACGATACCGCGTATTTGATGGCGCATTTTGTGTTGTTCATTTATATTGTTTATTTGTTAACATAATTATTTGTGTGTTTTATATATTTACTCAACGTTCACGTACAAAGTATGTGTGTGTGATGACGAGGTTATATTAATTCTTTTTCATTTTTATTGTTTATTTGTCAACATAATTATTTGTGCATTTTATTTATTTGCGTACGATGTATGCGTGTGTGATGGCTGCGTGTTCCTCGGTAGGACTGTGAAGCTATCGGCTGCTCTCTCCACCGTGAAGATGGGAAACGATTCGACGTTTCTACCGAAGCTAACCAAGCACATCTTCAGCAAACACCTGGACACCTACGTCAGGTGAGAGCGCACACTACACCTGTTCAGGTTAATTAATTCATCATTAAAGCATTTAGTGTATCTAATATATATTTGAGTTCGTATGTATGTATGTATGTATGTATGTATCTTCCCTATAGGCGGCCAAACCGCCCAAGCGATCTGGATGCAATTTTCACAGGGCCATCTCTTATACCCGGGAAGTGTTCCTAGCTGAAAAAAACCTGCCAAACCGTCAAACTCACCGAAAAATGCGTGAAAAACCCCTCAATTCGTGAATCTTCACACAATGTCAGCACTGACTGTACAGTGCTGCCACACAGAGAAAAATCGATCACTCATTCCATCAGCTGCTGGTATTGTGAAACCGAAACCGATACTAAAACAGAGCACAACCAGGAACCTGTTCAGAGGTTACGACTGCATTGTTTATCAAGAGGCTTTGAAATAAGAAGTGCAACCCATTCGTACATGCTGTTAGAATAACTTTTTCTTATTTACACCATATTACTATTATGTTCCAGGGGTTCTACGTTGGGTTGTGCTGTCATATAAATGTCATACGTAACCGTTTTTTACCATGCTAATATTATCTGATTAGACTGATTTGTAAATATTTATAGAGATTCACTATAGTTTAGTATGAGTATCATATAGTTTGAGAGGTTACGATTGCTCAAAACATCAACGCATAAAGACGCGTACCAAGTGAGTAAACATTCTTTTATAATTACGAATTTCCCCACTCGCTGGCCTGTCTGTATACTATATATCGACTTTTTTTATTCATGCTACGATATCAGAATCCATTGTACCATTCGAAAGCTGTGCCTTTTCTGATTCAGTAGAAAAATTCCTTTATTTCAAGGCAGTGGCTACGGGTACGGTAGCCGTATCTTAATGTCTCGAGGCTACGGGTACGGGAGTCCATTCGCTTTCATACTTAACGAGACAAAGATGGCGGCGGTGGCGCTAGATTTCGAAATAACGCCTTGGGAAATTAATTCACGATTTGAGAGTTTAGATGAGCTAGAACCCTAACCCTAACCCTAAACCTAACCCTAACCCTAAACCTAACCCTAACCCTAATCCTAACCCTAACCCTAACGCCAAAAAGGGGCTTCAACGACCGACGGCTACCGTACCCGTAGCCACTGCGTTATTTCAATGTGCATGGTCGCGCGCCAAGCATTCACTAGACAATATCCAATGGACACAGACCCCACTCGCTGGCCTGTCTCTATCTATACTATATACCCAA